TGATTCCTTATCGACGATAAATGTAGATTTGTATGGGCCTCCACTTACCATCATCAGATGAGATGAGATTGATTCATTCATTCCGTCCATCTGGACTATGTTATTGTTTGTCATCTTTATTATATTAAATAAATAGGAATGGAATATTTCAAATTGTTTCACAATTGGCGAATACATTGCGTAACTAATAATTAAGTTATTGTAATTCTGAGCCTTAATTAACTTATGGGGGATACAACCTAACGGGAATAAGTTTTATTCTTCGAATAATTTGCCATTTATTCGAGAATAATTAAATTTTACGGTACCTTTTGCAATCCTAAAAATAGCGAATCCGTTCGGGAATAGTTAATAAACTACTACCCTTTCGCATGGATTAACATATATTCACATTTCAAGAATATTTTAATGGCGACATAACATGTTTCTTCGGAGTTATTATGTCACTATCACTGTCAGAATAAATTTCAAGCTTATTTTGTCAGATATATCATTATATTTTGCTTTTATCCTCACTTATTTTCTATTTGTAAACATTACAAACAAATGAAAACAAACACAACGAATAAAACTCGAAACCTAGCATACTTAACAACTCGACATTGACAGCTATTTTAGGCACTATAATACAAAAACCTAGTAGAGATGTTATATATAACTTTTTACATTGTCACATACCGTGTAGTCGCGGTGTTAGAATATCCACTACCCCATATCATTCCGTGGGTGTCGTAAGAGGCGGCAGAGGGAAACAAATCGGGAGATAAGCAGCAGTGTCTTCCTAATAACGACTAAAAATAAAAAACTGCGGTTGCCAACCCGCTTACCAAGCGTGGTAACTATGGTAAATATCACCCCTACGCAGCAATATATGGGGGAAGCCTATAGGCCTATGTTCAGTAGTGGACTTTAATAGACTGAAACGGTAACGGTAAAATTGTCCCATAATAGAACAAGTTTTACATGAAGCAATACATCGTTCCAAGAATGAATTATCGACTTGCCTTTTTGTTTTATGTCTTACTTGATAACTCAAAAACTATTGCACAACCTTGATCAAATTATATATTTATATATGGGACCACGTGACAAGCAACAGCTTTCAAATAAAAAAAGATTCATCGAAATCTGTTCACCTAGAAAAAAGTTATGACATAACACATAAAAAACATACAGTGGAATTGAGTACCTCCTCCTTTTTGAAGTCGGTAGAAAAAACTTTATAGGTACTAATGAGTAGCAAGCATTTGACATATGTATCGTGATGATCCATTTTACAACAATATAAGCCGTAATTAATGGGTGTGTGCCTGTGTATGTATATGTGTTTGTGTGTATGTATATGAGATTAAGACTATTGATTTGTTATATTTTGTAGGTGTATATTAGTATTAAGCTTTTTACCCGACTGCCAAGGAAGGGTTATGTTTTTCGCGCGTATCTTGTATGTTTGTAAATTTCTTTATTACGTCGTATCTTCCAAACGGCTGGATGGATTTCGACAAATAAGGTATCGTGTTATTCGTCTTAAAAACCCAAGTGTTCTTAGACAGCTGTTTGAAAAAAATAAACAAAATGGCGGATTTTTGACGCGAAACAGTAATACATTAATTTAAAAAAATACCCAAACCTATCAATTAGGGTATCAAAATAAAGTACATAAATCAAAAGCAGATTACAAAAATATATATAAGTTATATGTTTAAGTTTGGATTAGAATTGTGCAAGCTAGATTTAGAAAGGGGATGGGATGTATGGATCAAGTCTTTTCCATGCGCATGATTGCGGAGAAATTTTTGGCCAAAAACCAGAAAGATTTTTGTGCGTTCATGGACTTGGAAAAGGCTTATGACAGAGTGGACATGAACGTGTTATGGCAAACACTGACCTCATTTGGGTTGAGCGCTGGTCTGATACAGGCATTAAAGTCTCTTTATAGGGACTCTAGTGCTTGTGTCAGGATCAACGGGGCCTACTCGGACTGGTTTGGCATTCAAAACGATGTCAGACAGGGTTGTGTGGCTTCTCCGTGGCTGTTTAACCTATTTATGGACAGCTGTTTGCAAACTTTGAAAGTTGAAGAATGTGGGTTGAGAATGGGTGAGTTAACTGTCAAATGCCTTTTGTACGCCGATGACCAAGTCATATTTGCATCGTCGGCGGCCGAGTTGCAAATGATGGTTAATTTAATGAACTAGTCATTAAAAGAAAGGTATGAAAGTGAACGCAAGTAAGACGAAAGTGATGGTTTTTGAAAGAGAAGAAAGTAAAACGTTATGTGAAATAAGAATAGAAGGGGAGTTGATTGAGCAAGTGGATGAGTTTGTATATTTGGGATGTTTATTTAGCAGGGATGGTGGATATGACAAGGATATAGAACGACGAGTGAACGCAGGAAATAGAGTTAATGAGGCTCTACACGCTATTATGAAGAGTCAGAATGTGTCAAAGAAGGCACGTATGGCAATTCATAATGGTGTGTTAGTCTCTACTTTAATGTATGGTAGTGAAAGTTGGGTATGGCAGAAGAAGCATGAGAGTAGAATAAAGGCTGTAGAAATGCGGTCATTTCGTAGTATGCTAGGGCTGAATCTGAATGACAGGGTGAGAAATAGTGTGATAAGAGAAATGTGTGGTTTGCAAGATGACGTTGTGACTAGGATTATAAAAGGAATGCTTCGGTGCTTTGGTCACGTAGAAAGAATGAACGAGGAAAGAGTGACAAAGCAAATTAATGTTTCAGAAGTGAACGGCAAAGTCGGGAAGGGACGCCCTAGACGAAGATTTATCGACCAAATCGGCGATACATTGAAAATGGGCCAGATTAGGAGTACCCTTAACCAACGAGCGTGTATGCGTAAATATATGGATGTAAAGGAGGCGAGAGAAGAGTGTCAGGATCACGCCAAATGGAAGTCCGTAGTCTCTGCCTACTCCTCTGGGTGACAGGCGTGAGTGTTTGTATTGTATGTTTAAGTTTAATTAGGAATAATAAATTGGTTAAAAACTTTTTGATTGCATAAAAATCTTGTTTCGGTCGTTATAGTGCATTACTTTAAAATTGTCTTTCATGCAGTCGGGTTTTTGATTTTTTAATTATTTGCATGTTAGGTAAGTAAGAGAGCATTTTTCTTCTGCCAACAAACTGCTGAGCAGTTTGGCAGTTTGTAAAACTTTAATCGTGTAAATTCAAATAATTATGTTATATAAATAAAAAAATACTCCACCAAGTTGTGATATATGTAGGTATAAATCAATATTGTATTATGTAGGTAGGCGCCACCGCGCGTCTTCTCGAGTGAGTCGCTCAATACATGTTATGAAGTCACACAGTGTTTATTATTTAAATACCGAGTTATCCAGAAATCTCTCAGTGGCGACGAGGATAGCAACGAACTCTTGGAAAAGTATTTGTAAACGACAAGTATTTAATTAAAATGTCGATTGGAAGAATTCCTGAGTTTGACCTACATAAGGACGATTGGAGGTCATACGTCGACCGCCTCGAACAATATTTTGTTGTCAACAAAATTTCGGAGGATTTACAAGTTCCGACGTTAATTACCGTGATGGGAGCCGAGTGTTACGAACTGTTAGTGAATTTATGTACTCCAACCAAACCAAAAGATAAATCTTTTTTGGAAATCACAAACATTCTAGAAAAACATCTCCAACCAAAACCAAGTACCCTCGCAGAAAGATATAAATTCCGGCATAGGAAACAAAAAAGTTGTGAAACAATAGCGGAGTATGCAGCAATATTGAAGAGAATGTCGAAATCTTGTGAATTTGGTCAATGGTTGGAAGAAAGTTTAAGAGATCAGCTGGTGTGCGGTATTCTAAGTGAAACTATAAGGCAACGACTATTCGCAGAAGGCACGTTGGAATATGGGAAAGCGTATAGCTTGGCAGTGAACATGGAGGCGGCGGAGAAGGATGCAGCGGCTGTGGAAGGATACGGGCAAGGTGAATCGTCGGGCAGCTCGAGCACGGCTGAGTGCCAGGCGATGGCAGCGACTCGAAGTGGCAACGGACGCGGTCGGCCAGGGAGGACGGCACCTACGGCATCGAGGTGGCAGCGGCAGCAAGGAAAAGCAGCGGACGGAGCACAACAATGTGCTGCGTGCGGTGGACCCCATGGCGGCACGAAGTGTCGGTTCGCGGCATATGTGTGCAGAGTATGTAATCGTAAGGGGCATCTACGTCGGATGTGCCCAAACCTGACGACGTACCATCACGTAGACATCGGAACACCTAAAGTGGTCGAATCGGACGAGACGGACAGTGACGAGGTAAGAATATTTGATATAAAAAAATTATCCATAGAAGAGTGTACACCGCTATGTATTTCAATCAACGTTCACGGAAAAGATATTGACATGGAGTGTGACATGGGTAGCGCCGTATCTTGTATAAGTTACAAATTTTATAAACATAATTTTAGTGATTTACCTATCAGCAAATGTAATGTTTTACTTAGATATTACACAGGTGAAATAGTTCGTCCGGTGGGGGTGGCTACGCCACTAGTGAGGTATAAAAATACACAAAAAAAATTAAATTTGTTCATAATCAGAGATGGTAAAACCGTTCTTTTGGGTCGACAGTGGTTAGCCGAACTTAAAATTCAACTACCAGTGTTTCAGTATCACGATGTAAACAATGTTAATTATAAGGATTTTGACGAAAGTAATTTTATGTATAGATTCAGTGAAGTATTTGCGGATGGGCTTGGACGGTTCAGCGGCGGGCGGGTTAGCATCCACCTGCGGCAGGGGGCGCGGCCGGTGTTCATGCGCGCGCGTCCTCTGGCGTATGCGCTGCGGGAACCGGTGGAGCGAGCGCTCGAGCAGCTGGTGCGAGACGGCGTCCTCACGCCGGTGGAGCGCTCCGACTGGGCCACACCCATTGTACCCGTTCTCAAAAAGGATGGTAATATTAGAATATGCGCTGATTATAAATGAACACTGAATAAAGTGCTAGAAGTCGACCGTTATCCCTTGCCACGCATAGATGATTTGTTATCGCGTTTACATGGCGGTGAACGTTTCAGTAAGATTGATTTATCTCAGGCGTACGCTCAGTTTGAGCTTGACGAATCAAAAAAGTATACGGTTATCAATACACATAAGGGTTTATACATGTACAATCGACTAGTTTACGGCTTGTCGTCGAGTCCAGGAATTTTTCAAAAACACTTAGAAGAATTATTGACAGGGTTACCGAACGTGGGTGTGTTTTTAGATGACGTAATTATAACGGGTCCTGATAGTCGTAGTCACATAAAAAATTTATATAAAGTGTTCGAGCGATTGCAGTCTCACGGGTTGCGCGTTAAGAAAGAAAAATGTGTATTTTTCGCAGAATCTATTAACTACTTAGGGCACGTCATTAGTAAAGAGGGTGTTCACACGTGTCCGGAAAAAGTCCGGGCAATTGTAAACACGCCTGCACCCACCAATATTTCAGAACTGCGATCTTTCATCGGGCTAGTAATGTATTATGGTAAATTCGTACGAAATGTTAGTTCATTGCTGGCCCCGTTATATCGTTTGCTAAAAACCGGGGTTCGATTCCTGTGGAGTACTGAGTGTCAATTGGCATTCAATGAAGTAAAAAAAATATTAAGTTCGAGCGAAGTGCTTGCTCATTATACGTTAGACTTACCCGTGGTACTGACGGCGGACGCCAGCGGGGTCGGAGTCGGCGCCGTGATATCGCATATCACTGAGGAGGGAGAGCGGCCGATCGCATATGCGTCGCGTACGCTCAGCGCGGCCGAGCGGGCCTATGCGCAGATAGATCGAGAGGCCTTAGCAATAATATTCGGTATTAAAAAGTTTCATCAGTACTTATATGGTAGAAAATTCGTTTTAAGGACTGATCACAAACCCTTGACGTATATTTTCGGCAGTAAAGTGGGCATTCCAGTTATGGCCGCTTCGAGATTACAGCGTTGGGCAGTATTATTGTCGGGATACAATTATGACATAGAATATGTAAGTTCACACAAAAATTGTGCAGATGCGTTATCTCGTTTGCCGCAACCGGTACATAAACGGCTTCCGAAGTCGGAGGGAATGAATTACATTAATTTCGTAGAAAATTTTCTCCCGGTCACAAATGATGACGTCAGAACGGCAACAGCAAGCGATCCGGAATTTAGTAGAATTTTAACCTATGTTCAGTCCGGATGGCCCGCGTCCTGCCCAAAAGAAGTGTTGCAGCAATATTATATTAAACGTAATGAACTATACATAGATAGGGGCTGTATTATGTGGGGTTACCGCTTGGTGATACCGCGCACTTTAAGAAAAAAAATACTTATGCAATTACATACTGGTCACATGGGCATTGTTAAAACTAAGTCCATAGCTCGAAGTTACGTATGGTGGCCTAATATAGATACAGACGTCGAATCCGAATGCCGAGCATGTGAGACGTGCGCGGTGGAGTCACAAGCACCCCCGCGCACCCCACCGCAGCCTTGGCCGTACCATTTGCAGCCATGGAGCAGACTCCATATAGATTTTTTAGGCCCTTTTAACGGAAAAAAATTTCTTATTTTAATAGACTCCAGTACGAAATGGCTAGAAGTGTTTGAAATGCCAAAAACAAATGCTACAGCGGTTATTAAGGTATTACGGTGTACGTTCGCAAGATTCGGCTTACCACTAGAGCTAGTATCGGATCAAGGGCCACCCTTCACTAGCGCGGAATTTAAGGAGTTTTTAACACGAAATGGTATTCAGCAACGTTTCTCGCCTGCTTATCACCCGTCTTCGAATGGCGCCGCGGAAAATGCTGTAAATATTTGTAAAAAAGCAATAAAAAAAGCACATAGGGAATCAATCGATGTTGACGCCGCGTTGCAAACATTTTTACTTACTTATCGTAACAGTATACACAGCAGCACAGGTGAAAGCCCTTCAATGCTGTTACAAAAACGAACGTTACGATCACGGCTAGACTTATTACGAAGCGATCGCGCGCTCATAAATAAGGTAAATCAGGCTCAAAGTAAGCAAGTGGAGTACACGGGCGGGGTGCAGCGCTCGTTTGCACCGGGGGAACCTGTGTGGGTGCGAGAGTACGGCCACAAGGATAGGTGGGTGAAGGGAACGATAGTTCATGGCGAAGGTTCGAGGAGATATTCTGTGGACAAGGGGGACAGTCGACAAGTAGTTAAGCACGTGGATCAAATCAAGCGCAGATCAGGGTTGTACGACATACCATTCCCTGAGGAGCAAAGCGAGTCAATGAGGGTACAAATACCTGATAGTAGTGGCTCGGCGAGAGACGGAATGTCGAAGGAGGACGACGGCCCGGACACATCTCCGACTACGGTTGTGGGTGATTTGGGAAAGGAGAGGAAACGGGTTTCGAGTGAACGCATTAAAAGTCCTGGAATCGATTATAGTACACCGCCAACGTCACCTAGTGCACCGTCGCCTGAACCGCCTCGAGCCCGATCCGGGCGAGTTCGTAAACCTGTTGTTAGGTTTCAAGTATAGCTTAGTTTATTAGTTTATTAGATTTAGTAACTAAGTTTAGTTTAGTTTATTACATTTATAGATAATGTATTATATAGTTAAGGTATTATTATAAGTAAAGTTAGGTTTAAGTTAGGTTTCAAGTTTAGCTTAGTTTATTAGTTTATTAGATGTAGTAACTAAGTTTAGTTTAGTTTATTAGATTTATAGATAATGTATTATATAGTTAAGGTATTATTATAAGTAAATTTGTGATTACATAATTTATGTACCTTAAGTACTTAATAATATCTGATAATACCATATATTAAGAAGGGAGGTGTGATATATGTAGGTATAAATCAATATTGTATTATGTAGGTAGGCGCCACCGCGCGTCTTCTCGAGTGAGTCGCTCAATACATGTTATGAAGTCACACAGTGTTTATTATTTAAATACCGAGTTATCCAGAAATCTCTCACAAGTCAGTAATTGATTCCCGGGGGTGATGTATTTTTATAGGATAACGGTGAAGAAACGAGCACACAGTCCACCTGATGGTAAATGGTTGCTGCGACCCATAGACATCTACATCTATCCTCGATTACTAATCAAAACGCTGATACGTTGTAACCCGTGAAGACTAAGATGGAACGCCTCTATTCCAGAAAAAGGGTCTCCGGTTCTCTACACTCACCGTATGAAACACAGCAGTGTTAAGCTTCTATTTTACGCTGGTATTCTGTGAGAGCGTGGTCCTTCCCCGGTCGAGCCGACCCATTCGTGCTACAACTATCTATACTATACTTACTAATATAATAAAGCGGAAATTTTTTTTTGTTTGTTTAAACGTACTAATCTCTGGAACTACTAGTCCGATTTCAAAAATTATTTTTGCATATTATAACCAGATTCATGTGTAATAGTATAGGCTATCAAGTCAAGTTAACGGGAGCGGTGGAGGCGTTTTTAAAAACTAAAATAAAACTAAGAGATGTCCGTACAGAAGCTCATGTACTTCAACAATGGCAAACTTATCCCAATACATCTTTCATGCAGACTTTATTACATTTGCTTACTCAAGTGACACGATATAGGCCACACACAGGGTGCAAAGTTAGCAATAGTATTTATGCACGTACTTGTATCACTCTGTGTGGGGTCGAATCCATGACTCTTCCCTCCTCAAGAGCGAAATTATCGGCATTTTCAGGAATCCAATGATTTCGCTTAATTACACACAGTTTATGTCTGATTATAATAAAAATACAGAAAATAATTGGTAGAATTACATACAAAATTATCGTTCCTAAACTCACACTTTTAACGTTAATAGCACTTGCATTTTCACTGATATTTATTTTGTTAAGTTTTACTAGTTGAAGTAATTGTTTAGTTTCGTCTAGATATATGCCTTTTAAACTCACTTCACTGACAATGGGAGGCTTCGAAATCTTCAGTTCTGGCAAGTTAGTCATTGGGTAAATTCGGTAATTTAGGTCATCTGAAGAAGATTGGTGGTATTTAAAATGAATATTTCCAATTTCGGCTTCACAGAAATCGTCTACGGTGATTATGTAAGTACCACATAAAAGTTCATGAGTGACGTCATTGTCGCACTTTCTGGTAAGTATCCTATGATTTCTCACGTACAGTATCCAGCTTTCGTGGCTTATTCCTTGGATTTTGGGATCTTCAATGTCCACAGTATGCTGTTCACAGGCATCGAGGTTTGATTGAAACTCCATGAGCTGTTCCACGCAGCTTTGTTCTGTATGCAGCAGCACATCGTCGTTATTGCACAGGAATTGATTATCCAAAGCAATTTGTTTACAGGCTCTCGGGACTGGCAAGTATTCCTTTTCTTTCATCAATAGGTATGGGTATTTGGGAATAACTATAATAGTTTTGTTTGCAATAGCAATTGGCAATGAATACATTTTGAAATAACCATATGTTTTATTCCCTACTAAAGGGACCTCTAAGATAAACGTGATCTGGTTTCCTTTTATAAAAGCCTTAACCTTAATACAATTTTCTAGTTTAACTAAGTTATTTTCATTTACAGGATATAATAGATTTTCAGTTGTCGCGATTGATTGTAATAAATTTAACAATTCCGTAGAGTTCAAAATTACTTGATGCAGAACAGATACCTTACTGAATGCTAGTGCAGTTTCGATTTCTCCTAGTATTACGTTAATAGTTCTAAAATAACTCAAAAACATGTCAAACATACCTAGGACATAGGTAGAATAAATGGAGTTTTCTTCTTTTGTAATTAGGAATTTAACAATTCTTTCAATTCTCTTCAAGCGTTCATCTAATATTAAAGTATTGTTATGTAAGGTCTCTGTACTGTTGATGAAACTATCCAAGATTTTGGAGACTAATGTAATTCTCTTATCCAACATTATCTGATTATCGTTTAGTTTAGAAATCAATGAGTCATATCGGACGGCATCATCATGATCCAAATTTCCAGTTACTATTTTTATCATAGACCCAAGCGGGTCAATAATGCCTCTTTTATATCTTTTCGATGGCACAAGTTGCCGAAATTTTTCTATAGTTGCATCTCTTAAATACCCTACATGTGTTCGAATAGCTAAAAATTCATAAATATATGGTTTATTAACATCTATCAACGCAACGAATTCGTCATACTTTAATATACTAAAATCTAAATCACTACCTATACCTTCTAAGTTTAAAGTTTTAATAATAAGCCAATTGTCTATTTGCATTGAGGCACGACCCAGTTTGACAGGCAGGATTCCTGGGTTTTTTTTAAAGTTTTCGAAATTGAAGGGCCCACCCTTTCTGAATCATCGTCAGAATTATTATACACCACCTGTGGAGGACGTTTAATATTTTTAATTGGCACTGAAGTATTTCTATTACCAATCCTAACATGAACTATATTTCTTTCTATATTACCACTAACGACAGCTTTCCTATATCGCGGTTTGTCTTTACTTATTCTTATGTTAGATTCCTTGGCGTATATAACATCTCCTATTCTAAAATTTCTATCTGTTTCACCGCCCTTTTGTTCCCTTACCTTTTCCTTTTTCTCGAAGATTTTATCTGATATGTAATTATATAGATATCTAATACGTTTAGCATGATCTTTTAATAGTTGTTGGGTGTAACATTTCTCGAAATTCGCGGTGAACGTTGAATTAGAGTCGGTATGACCGAAAACGATTTCGAAAGGAGTAAGGCCGGTTGTACTATGTATAGTGTGGTTATAAGCCATAATTGAGTAACTCATTACAGTAGCTGCATCTGTACACTTTCGTTCGTATTTCGCCAATCTGTATATCTCTATAATTGTGAAGTGGAATCTCTCTATTATGCCTGTTGAATTCGGGTTATTAGGAGTGGTAATGTGTAGTAGTATGTTATACATAGTCTTAAGTTCCTTAATGAGATCATTATTAAACTCACTACCGGGATCAGAAGTTATTTTTTTAGGTGTTCCGTATATTGAAAAATATTTAATAAGCGCTCTTACGATTTCCGGTGCGGATCTATTTGGGATTTCAATAGCTTGTCCTAACTTACTAAATGCGTCAACCAAAGTTAGGTAATAAACGGATTCGATTGAAAAAAGGTCCATGAAAACTTCTTGGAAGGGGGCGTTTTGGGTTTGAGTTAATTGAAGTAATGGTTTAATGGGTTTTCTTTCATATTTCATTTTTCTACAGGCACCACAAACATTAAGTACTGCAGCAATCGTCTCTTGCATGTCTGCCAATAATAATTTCTTTTAATTCTACTCATTGTTTCCTTTATTCCTCTGTGACACGTCTTTCCCTCATGATGTTGCAGTATGATTTCTTTTTGTTCTCTCTCGTCTTCTACATATATAAAACGCTCTTTACATTAAATAAATTCTACAATTCCCTTTTTAAATAGCTGTATAATAATTTTAGAAAATTCTTTTCTATGTTGAATGTTTTCGAAATAAATAAAATATTTAGTCTTGGGTTTAATGTACTCTTTTAAGAAATTTTTAATAAGATCTTCATTCTTAAGTGGGGCAAAAACTTCGAGAACCTTTTGTTTATCCCTGGATAAATTTCTTACTTGTACTTTATTTTTATGCCAGGTATAAACTAAAATTTGGTTTGGTTTTGAGTCAATGGCCTCCTTTAATATCGGAATACCATTAGATTCTAGATCTTGTCCAGAATGCACAGTTACTATACTACTATCAGAAGATATAGGTGGTAACGGGTATTTCGAGTCAGTCTCTAACTGGTCGACGGATACAGTGGCGGATGTGTCAGTTATAGTTATTGTCCTAGAGTCGTCCCTGTTTTCAGTCGTTAAGTCCACAATTTGGTCAGTTAATTCTGTCAGATATTTTTGCAGTTTTTGTTCTTTAGGATCCAGGTTTACTTCCAATGATTGTGAGTCATCAGAATCTATGGCATTTAGTTTTATCCGAGAGAGGGCATCAGCATTACTATTTTGTTTTCCGTTTTTGTATACAATATCGAATTCGTACTCTTGAAGACGTAAACGCCAACGGGTTAGTTTACTGTTCGGTTCTTTAAGTAAGTAAAGCCAAACTAGTGGTCTATAGTCGGTATATATGGTGAACTTACGCCCGTAAAGGTATAGTCTAAAATGTTTTACGGCCCATATTATGGCGAGTAGTTCACGCTCTATTGTACTATATCTGGTCTCAGTGTCGCTAAGAGTTCTACTGGCGTAGGCAATGGGCTTATCGGATCCTATTGTCCCCTGCGATAAGACCGCACCTAAAGCAACAGTAGAAGCATCTGTAGTTAAAACATAAGGTTTGTCTGGATCTGGGTATTGGAGTAAAGGTTCATTAGTCAGAAGCTTCTTACACTTCTGAAACGCAACAATATATTTTTGATCTATTACAATTTTATTTCTTTTCTTTAGGCATGCTGTAAGGGGCTGAGTGATTTTGGCGAAGTCTTTTACAAAGCGTCTGTAATAACCAATCAATCCTAGGAAACTCTTGATCTCGGTAGTCGTTCTTGGTAACGGGTAGCTT